AAGCCCGGCACTGTTGTGGTTAAAAGCTGTGCTCCTAGTTGGTCCAGTTGTCAGATTTGGGGCAGGTCATTTCCCTTCTCTGAGTGTCAGTTTTCTCATCTCCAAAATCAAGATGATGATGGTATTGTAGCCCCTGCACTGGGGGTTGCTGGGAACATGCAGTAAGAGCAGGCCTAGCTGCAGGCGTGGGCCCTTGTCCACACCGTGCGAGCTCTGCTGGCCTCCCTCCACGTGCCGCAGCCTTCAGGGAGCAGAAGCAGATGGGAAGGCCTGGCAGGTCCCAGCCAGGGAGCTGGCTGACTTCTAAGTGAACAAGTGCAGGGAAGGAAGCATCCAAAGGCTAGGACTGAAGAAAATCAATGTGCATAAAAGAGTGATGGGGGTGAAGAGTTAGCCTGGGGAGCCCAAGGGGTGGTTCCAGACTGGTGGTGGGTGTGGGGGCCTTGCCAGAGAGCCTCCCCTCTGGGGCTTCCCGGGAGACAAATCTGAGCCTTCCTCATAAGTACTTCATGACTGAGGGCAAGTTGCTCAACTGCTCCTTGGTTTTCTCATGTATAATGGGAGATGGCGAACCCTTTCTTTCAATATGGTGGTTGAGGGCGTTTGTGGGAGAGATGACGCAAAGCCGTTAGTTCAGGGCTTGGCCTGGGCTAAGCACTCAGTGTGGAGTGATACTGTGACTGGCTGGGGCTCTCAGCCTGGGATAGCTTTTCAGGAGGGAGGCAGGACTTGGCCAGGCTGGCTGTGCAGAGCCCTCCCTGGACCAGTAGGGTGTTCTGGTCTACTCTTGGACTCTCTACTCCCCTCTCCGCTGCACCTGACCCCCAGCCCCACATGCTGAAGAGGACAGACACGCTGTGATAGTCCGTGGTTCAGCATTGTTAGCGAGGAAGACTTCCCCAGAAACTGGGCTGCAAGCCGGGTGTGCAGAGTGCTTCCTGCCTGTTTTTGCTGTTGGGGTCTCCAGGCAGGGCCAGGTGAGGGTCCTGGCACCACAGTCAACACAAGGCCCTGCTTCTGGGCAGCTGCTGAGGCAAGGTGAGGTGGACTCTGCCCATCCTTGACTCTCAGTCTCCCCGCTGTGGAGTGGGGAGAACAAGGGTACTCAGAACAACATGCCTGGATTGTGCTGCCTCAGGGAACCCCTCACCAGCCAGGCGAGGTGGGCATCACAGTTCCCTGTCAGAGCCTTGTGGTTGGCTCTCTTTGATGGTAGGTAGGCATCCACCAGAGATTTGTTTAAAGAAATTAGGTACTTTCTCATTAAAAAAAAAAAAAAGCAAGCTGGATGTCTTTGTCTTTTGAAAAACTGAATGATTTAGCCTCCCTGGGTAGCAGTCAGTTGGTCTGAACAGTGGCTTCCTTCTTGAGATAGGCCTGTGCTTTCTTTAAAAATTTTTTTGGCATTAAAATCTTTACCGGCGGATGTTTTTTCCATTGATTTTATTATTATTATTTTTTTTAAAGAGAGAGTGAAAGAGGGGGGGTGGGAGAAGAGAGACACTGATGTGAGAGAGGCACATTGACTGGTTGCCGGGATGGAACCTGCAACCGAGGTACATGCCCTTGATTGGGAACCGAACCCATGACCCTTGTCCCTTGAGTCTGAGGGCAGACCCTCTAACCACTGCGTCAAACCAGCCAGGGCCAGGCCTGGTGTTTTCTCGCCTGCCCACCTGGTTCCTGCACCTGCTGGTCTCCTAAGCATGACAGTATGCCTCCCCTGCTCTTGTTCAGCTCCCTTAACTGTACAAACAGGAAATTGGAAGTTTGGGCAGGAAGGGCCTTGCCCTGGGACCCCCACAGGGTTTGTCTACCCCCTTAGGCCCCTCCTCCCCCACTAACTGCTGCCCCCTCCCCATGCAGGCGTGCTGATGTATCGGGACTTCCCCCTGGAACAGTTCATGAACCAGTGCTACGGCAACGTGAACGACCTGGGTAAGGGGCGCCAGATGCCTGTCCACTATGGCTGCAAGGAACGTCACTTCGTCACCATCTCCTCTCCACTGGCCACGCAGATTCCTCAGGGTGAGAATGCGTGTGCGTGGGCGTGTGTGTGTGAGGGCGATGAGTATTCATGGTGCCCTGCTCCTGCTTACCACCCTCTCACTGCCTGCAGCGGTGGGAGCAGCCTACGCAGCCAAGCGGGCCAATGCCAACAGGATTGTTATCTGTTACTTCGGTGAGGGGGCAGCCAGTGAGGGGGATGCCCATGCCGGCTTCAACTTCGCCGCCACCCTAGAGTGCCCCATCATCTTCTTCTGCCGGAACAATGGCTATGCCATTTCCACACCCACCTCTGAGCAGTACCGCGGCGATGGCATCGGTATGGACCTGTGTCGTCATCTCTCTCCCCTCCTGTCCTCTTCCTGCGACACAGGGAGGTCACAGGAGACAGTGAATGGAGCGCTGCTCTGTTGGCTCTCCTTCCCTTTCCTTACCTGCTCATTGTCCTCATCAGAGCCATGGGGTTTGAGCTGCTTCTCTCTGTTCCCACAGCGGCTCGAGGCCCCGGGTACGGCATCTTGTCAATCCGTGTGGATGGCAATGACGTGTTCGCCGTGTATAATGCCACCAAGGAGGCCCGGCGGCGGGCCGTGGCAGAGAACCAGCCCTTCCTCATTGAAGCCATGACCTATAGGTGCCTGCCTCCCCCCATTCCCATCAGCCTTGACAGCCACCATCTTTACCATCTTCCCCACATCGATCACTGGGGTCTCCAAAGCCTGACCCTATCACCCCAAGTTGTATCCCCTTCCTTGCCTTGAGCAGGATTGGGCACCACAGCACCAGTGATGACAGCTCAGCATACCGCTCGGTGGACGAGGTCAATTACTGGGACAAGCAGGACCACCCCATCTCCCGGCTGAGGCACTACATGCAGAGCCGTGGCTGGTGGGACGACGAGCAGGAGAAGGCCTGGAGGAAGCAGTCCCGCAAGAAGGTGAGGGGCTCCCTCTGTTGGAAACTGAAGTCCCAGGGGGTGTCTGGAGGTGGTGCATCGTGGAGAACCCTGGAAGGTTGGAGGCTGGGATTTGGGGGACATTGAACTGGGAGACTCAGGGATCACCCAGGGACACCTGCAAATGTGGCCTATGGAGCCAGGCTGCCTGGGCACATGCACCTCAGCCATGTTCTTGGCACAGTGTCTGCCCTCTGCCCTCTCATCTCTGAAGAGGGATGCTGGGTACCCGCTTCAGAGGTTGGGGATGGGATGACTTAATCTGCAAGTGGTGTAAGTGTCCCACACACGGCCAGCCCATGTCCTCCCTGGCCCTGGTCATCAGGAGCCAGAGGTAAGGGCCAACCCTGGCGTCAGGCAGCAGTATGTCCAGCTCTGTCCCTAACTACATTGTCACAGGCAAGTCTCTTTTCTGAGCCTTGGTTTCCTTATCTCTAACCTGCCTGCTTCTTAGGGCTGTTGAGTCTGAAACCATTCTATAGCTTAGGTCAGTACCTAGTCCTGCGAAGGATGGAAATGCTGGGGTTGGGGGCATTGATGGGGATGATAGCTGTCACCACTGTGATGATGATTGTCTTCGTTGTTCCAATGGGAACACAAAGGCTCAGGGGGATTAATGCCTCACTGAAGTCCTACAGGTAGGAGGCAGGGCCCTGGGTAGGAGGCCAGTTACCTGCCCACCATCCCGTGTCCCCCAGGTGATGGAGGCCTTCGAGCAGGCCGAGCGGAAGCTGAAGCCCAATCCCAGTCTGCTCTTCTCGGATGTGTATCAGGAGATGCCTGCCCAGCTCCGCAAGCAGCAGGAGTCCTTGGCCCGTCACCTCCAGACCTACGGCGAGCACTATCCCCTGGACCACTTTGAGAAGTGAGGCCTGCTCGCCCCACCCCACCCATCTCAGGTACCCCGAGAGGCAGTCCCAGGCTGAGGGGTGGAGGCAGCTGGCAGGACACCACCCTCTTCCCCAGCCAGCACCCTCCAAGGGGCCAGGGCAGGACTGAGATCGTAAGGGGGGGCTTCTGCTCACCATCCCAGCTCCTCTAGGCTATTACATTGTTGCGGGGCCTTCTCAGCCCCCACTTTGTGGTTGCAGTGCCTTCTCCCAGGAGCTGGGTGGGATGCCTCTAGGACTGGAAGCCCCTCTGGACTAGGGGCAAGCACTTACTCAAAGTGAGGGGTGATAAGCAGGCAGTGAATAAACTGTCTACATTTGGTTCTCTGCCACCTTTGGTCTCTGTTTCCTGTAGTTTTGGAGGTGGGAGTCCTGCATGACTGGTTTGGGACCCTGCCCCTTCAGTTCGATCAGTGGTTCTCAACTTTTTGTTGGCCATGCCCCACCTAAGCATCTCTAAAATCCTGATGCCCCCCCCCCCATATATTTCTTATTATTCAAAAAGTGAGTACCTATTCACGTGGAGGAAGCCTAAAAGGCCATTAACTTGGTCTAACCAACCTCCCAAAGAACATGGCATCCATAAAAGAGAAAAATAAATGAATGAAAGGACAATTGAAGTACTGAGGAAGAAATCACTAAGAAATCGTTAAAAAATAATATGAAGTGATATGAAAAAATAGCAAAGTTTCAAAACAAGAGAACTGAAATGCATAAATATGTCACAATGTGTACTTATATACTGTATATGAGGCTCCTAGAATCATAAAGATGCAAAACATTTACTGTTAATAACTCATTCTCAAATTGCCCCCCTGTGGGGCACGTGCCCTGCGTGGGGAACCACTGAGTTAGATGGAGAAGGCCAAGGCCGTTGAGGTATCTACTTCCCTGGAAACTTTCACAAGGTGGAGGGCCAGCTTCAGCAGACAGGGTGGGGTGGGGTGTTCCGATTTGGACTCCTGCTCTCCCATGGAGTGAGGCAAACCTGGTGTCCAGCAAGGTGAGCAGGAGGCTGTTGGAGCTGGCCCTGTCCAGTAGGGGTGGGGAGGGTGTCTAGTGTAAAGGTCAGGGTGTGCAGGGTATGGGTGGCTGAGCTCTGCTCTTATAAAGTTCCCAGGGCCCCATAGGCACAAAGACAACTCTAAGCCTCAGAGTGGGGCATTCATATTTTTTCCAAAAACAAAAAGTAGACAAAAACAGTCCTTTGCCTCCTGCTGCCCAGTCCCATAGCCTGGGCCAGCCCAGGAGGGGCTCAAGCAGTTGTGATTCTAGGACCTCCTCACAGAGAGGCTGAGCAAGGGGCAGGCAAGAGGCAGGCACTGAGGCCCTGGCCCAGGCCAGGTTGGCCCTCCCCTCCCAACCCCACTGAGACTCAGCAATGGAGCTGAGGGTCCTGCAGGTGTTTCCAGAGCCAAAGGCTCTCCTGGGGTCTGATGGGTCGCACCAGCAGTAGGTCACGGAGAACGCAGGGGTCAGCCCTGCGGTCTGCTGGCCAGGCTGTGAGGAAGCCGATGTGGGCCCTGGGCGCTAGGCCAAGAGCACGGAAGCACAGGCCAATGTAGACATCGTTGAAGGGGAACGGTGCCACACGGGCTGCTGCCTGCAACAGCCAGTGTGCCAGGTGTCCAGCGATGATGTAGCCACCCCCGCTGGCATAGGCCGGGTAGTCACCTTCAAAGAAGGACATGGGCACATAGAAAGGTCCTCCAGGCTTCCGGAGGGGCTTGGCCTGGGAAAAGACCTCACCCAGGTAGAGGCCTCGGGCCCAGCTGGGTGGCAGGGCCCGCAGGTAGTCCAGCAGGGCAGGAGTGTGCACAAAGGCATCATCCTGAGCTTGCAAGACGAAGCTCACACCAGCGCAGTGCTGGCCCAGCCAGGACAGTAGCAGCAGGTCCTTGAGTGTCTCATTGAAGGGAACATCCAGAAAGTCCCAGAGCAGCAGGTCACTGTAGCGGTGGCTTTCCCAGGCCACCAGAGGGCCTAGGTCAGGACCTCCCTCACCTACTGGGGACCCCAGCAGGAAGAGCAGGCGGATTCCAGGAGCGGGACCACCCCAGGTCTCCCTCACGGCCTGTCGTTCAGCAAATCGCCCTGGTTCCGACTTGACAGCCAGCAGCAGGTAGGGGATATTGGTTTCCCCACAGCTGGGCACTTGGCCACGGCCACCTCCAGGCAGCCACTGAGGGAAGCTCCGGCAGGCTGCTGACAGCAAGAAGCGGCGGAGGTCCTCAGGGTAGGAGGTGAAATCGGGGATTTCAGCTGCCGCGGCAGCCCCCCAAGCCCGGCAGTCTCCCTCCTCAGTGCTGTTCCCACTGGGCAGGGCCCCCAGCCGCCACTGCTGCTGGTTCCAGTAAGCCAAGGGCAGTGGGCCAGTTTGGCCCAGACGGGCCGAGAGGTTAGCTGGCAGGGTGGGCTCAGGACTGGCTGGCGAGGGGCCTGGCAGGGTGCCCTGGGGTCCTAGATAGACCTTGCTCAGCCGAGACTCCGATGTCCACTCGATGTACACTTTGAGGCCCAGGAGCGTGAGCAGTGCTGACAGGCAGAGAAGGCACTTGGGGCAGCGCATGACCCAGCCTGGGGAAGGGATGGCTGCGGTGGGAGCTGCAAAGGAGCCACAGAGGCCTTTGGAGTGCAGGATGAGCCTTCATAGTTCCCACCACCCCAGTAAGGGCCTTAGTCCCAGACCCTAAACCAGCCCCTATTCCTGAACCTGGAATCACTGCTCCAATCCCACTCCAACACCCACTCTTTCCCCTCTCAGCTCAGTCCCTTCCACAGCTTGTTCCATTCCCCAATTCATCCCCCTCTCCAGGAATCAGGATCCCTGGGGTCAGCTCCTTCCAGCGTCAGAGAAACCCAAACTCCCTCACTCCATCTGCCCCCACCCCAGGGACTGGGGAGCCCTCTTTACCTCTGGGTCCAGCTCCGGCACCCCGGGCCTCTGGTCAGGCCCTCCCAGCTCCCTCCCTTTTGCCCAGGTCCTGCAGGGGCTGAGTCGTCTTTCTTCGTATGTCATTGTTCTTCAGCCCAGCCCAGCCCAGCCCAGCCCAACCAGAGGGGTGGGGCGGGAGGGGAGCCCGCAGCTGGGAGGGCCCCAAGGGCTGGGAGGGGCCAGGGCGGGGCTGAGGGAGGCAGGGGAGGGGGAGGGCAGGAGGCCGACCTGAGAGATGGGGCTCTGGCTTGTTGGGGCTGGTTTTCTGGTGAAGCAGAGGGGATTGCTGCAGAGATTGGGGCACCTGGTGAGGCCTGGGACAGGAGAACCAGGGGCCTGGGAGAATCTGAGGGAGGGTGAGACTGAGAGCTAGGCCTGAACCTGGGCTGGGTGGTGTTGGAATGGCCCAGAGACAGGCACAGTCCCAAAGTTGCAAAACTGGAGGCGAGGGGCTAATGATTGGTGGAAGGAGGTGGTGGCAGAGAATGTGCTGAGAGGGAAAGGGTCGGCCTGCTAGAGATGGGGGTGGCGTTGCTGCCCAGAGTCCGGGTGGAATGGGGAGGGGGGCTGGTGAGGACAGACAGCTGGTGAGGGAGACCTCATGAGGAGGCAGGGAGAAGAGACA